CGCACCACTCCGCCGCAAATCTGCACCGCAGCACTTCGCCGCAAATATGTACCGCAACACTTTGTTGCAACTCTTCGCCGGAACTCTGCACCGCAACGTTCCGCTTCGCCGCAAATCTGCACCGCAAGACTTCACCGCACCGCAAATCTGCACCGCAACACTTCGCCGCAAATCTGTACCGCAACACTTTGTTGCAACTCTTCGCCGGAACTCTGCACTGCAATGTTCTGTTTCGCCGCAAATCTGCACCGCAACACTTCGCCGCAAATCTGCACCGCAACACTTCGCCGCAAATCTGTACCACAACACTTTGTTGCAACTCTTCGCCGGAACTCTGCACCGCAACGTTCCGCTTCGCCGCAATTTTTCTCCACTACTCTTCGCTTCGTCGGAACTCTCCGCCTCGCCGCCGCAACTCTTCTCCACAACACTTTGCTCCGCCGCAACTACTCTCCGCAACGTCGGATAATTTTCTTCTCCTCCTCACTTGTGATTTTTCCTCTCATCTAATGCCTCTATTTATAGGCATGATATGAGACATATCATTAAATAGACATTAAAATATATATATATATATACTTTTCATTTCATATTCCATCAGTTTTTAGCTTTTCAAATTCTGCTTTTATGGCTTAATTGAAATTAAAACAGTTGATAATTAAAATAAATTAAAAAAAAACTCTTCACATTCTAAAAATGTGCATTTAAATTTCAATTTTTATTTAATTTCTTCTGCTTAAGAGCTTCTTAACTCTCCGAATTTAATTAAATTAATTAGTTAATTAATTTCAGCTGTTTTTAGCTCTCTATGGCCCTTCGAATTCCTCTCCCGCGGTCCAAATTTCTTCAATCCAGGCCCGCGTTCCGCGTTCCTCCAATTCCGGCCAGGCGCTCGGATCCAGGCCCGCAGGCTCGCGTTCCAATCCCTCGGATCCAGGCCCATAGGCCCGCGTTCCAATTCCGACCAGGCCCTCGGATCCAGGCCCGCAGGACCGCGTTCCTCCAATTCCGATCCAGGCCCGCAGGCCCGCGTTACTCCACAGGTAAAAAACATTTTTGTTTTTTTTTCTTTGTTTAATGTGAGATTCGAACCCTCATCACCTGCAAAAGGCAAAATACTCTTACCAACTGAGCTAGGCTTAGTTGATTTATGTTTTATTTAACTCTTACCAACTGAGCTAGGCTTAGTTGATTTATGTTTTATTGATAAATATTATTCTTATTTAATTAGTAATAGCAATAAGGTATATATATCTAAATTTTTGTCCTCCATGAAAAGTTTACGGATCTTAATATTTTCGGGCAAAACAAAAAAAAAAAAATGATTTCGCTCGAAAATAGGGGGGCAATTGATACGTCATTAACAAATTTTCATCAACCAGCACGAATCTCAGTGCAAATTTTTGAACAAGAGACATTTAAACTTTGATTAAGAGTCATCCGGAGCTTCAATTTCAGCAAAATTATAGTCAAACTGATCGGCTCGATGAGACGGACCTAATAATATAAAATTTAGTCCAATCCGAGTTAAATCAGGCCCAGATCAAGTCATTAAACCACTACTGGAGGATTTCCGGAGGCATTTGAAAGGTCAAAAAAATGTTGAATCTAGCGAGTTTATATTCAAATCGAGCGTCTCGAAAAGACGAATCCAACGAGCCCAAGATTGCTCAATTCTGACATCATTAAGGCACTCAAATGTCCATCAAACGTCATTTGATCAAGGGAAGTTCTCCGGACCGTCCGATCAAAATGGTTCATATTCCTGCATTAATTGCACTCAAAACACTATAAATAGAACATCACCCCTCACATGAAGGGAAAAAATTTGCGTACGTCAAGGGGTACGCATCTCTGCGTACATAATAGGATACATGGGAGTTATACGGAGATTACAAGGGGGTTACAACCTGTTGTACCTCCCGTGTAACTCCCGTGTAACTTTCTGTGTAAATCCCGTGTAACCCCGCTGTAATAATTATACATGTTTGTAACTCCTATGTAACTCTCGTGTACACGCTTGTAACTCCCATGTAACTCCCGTGTACACTATTATGTACGCAGAGATGCATACCCCTTGACGTACACAAATTTTTTCCCACATGAAGGGGAGGAGGCTTAAGAGAGAACTTGAGGATTTGAGAATGAGCTCAGGTCCAAGATTATCCTCGCCATCGTCGATCGTCGTCGACCACAACTAACCGCCGACAACGACCGCCGACAATGACCGCCAACCTTTGTCGACCACCGCCGGCCACCGTTGAACGTCGTCAATCACCGCTGACATCCGTCAACCACCGCTAACTAGACGTCATCAGTTGACGTTGTAACGTGGAAAATTAGTAACATTTTTCCCGTCTGTGGGACAAAGGGCATCTGTAATCATCAACTTATAGTGGATTTTTACAACTGGGTCAGGCCTGGTGGTTTTTACCTTTTTACGGGTTTTCCACGTAAAAACTTCTGGTGTGATCACAACTCAATTTATTTTTATCTGAGTGTGTGTTAAATCCTCGTGCAACGCTAAAACGATAATCAATTACTCTACCGCCACGAATTTTTTAGCACGCATCAATTTGGCACTGATGAGAAGAATTGTTATATTTAACTCAATACAATTAAATAAGAAGCATAAATATAACAAAAACAATCTTTAAAGATTGGAAGGCTCTGCTCAACCTCAAGATACACAAAATGGGCATGCCAAACTACCTTAATCCACAAATCATTCGTAGGAATCATACAAATACAAATACCTCCTATTGAAGCATGCAGAATAAGAAAATATAACAAGATCCAAAACTTATAGGTCATATGAGTATCGACCCAGGGATATGTACAGCTACAAAAGGTGGATCTCTCATCAAGTGTTTGTAAGCCAATCATAGAGGCTTCCCAGACAGTCTTAGCTAGAGCTTCATGAAGCATAAAGAACCAAAACATACCCTCCTAACTAAGTCCACTGGGAGTGCATGACAAAGAAAAATAATCTCTCTTTAATTCTGTTCTCTTTAAAGACGGGTCTGTAGAATTTCAGCAGTGACAAGCGGCATTATCTAGAGTTCTGGTTGTCTTCCATCTAGATGGCTGATATCTTAGTGAAGAGAAAATCAGCTTGTAATTTTAAATTTATTTGGGGCTTTTCTGTGGATTGTGAGTGCATTCGGGTAGGGTTGGTGAGTTTTCCTTCATTGTGTACAACATATTTGTCACTTTCATGTTTCCAGTAGAACATATCATCTCTCCTCTCTCCCAAGTTTAGGAGGTTTGGTTAAAGTCAGATCAAGTAAAATTTGGTGTCACTGTTTTGCATGTTGCTTGATTTATTTTTAGTTTTAACTTATTATTGTATCATACTTCGCTGCAAGGGACACTTCCACATTTGACTTATGGTGTTCTCATTTCAGCAATCTAATAATGTTAAAGTACTACTATCCCATCGAAGGTAAGAAAATTTCATACAAAAGCCAAAGATCTAAAAGTCATTAATAACCAAACATATTTACCAACTACATGCAAACAAAATAGCAATAATAAGGAACCACATAACGCTAGTTTATACTCTATATTTACTAGCAATAATTAAAAATTATTCATGGAAGATTAGCAGATTTTAGAAATCCATCTGAAGCAAAGGAGCTGAAAATTGAAAGAGAACATACCACATTCTTATCTGGATTTTCAAGGTTGATATTCGGATGAACCAATCCTGTACGAATTGCCTGTAAACAATGCAGAAAAAAAGTAAAGAATGAGCACCACCCATGTCTGTCGGAGTGAAATGTGGAACTTGTTATAAGATGTAGAATGGGCTTCATTCGGCCTAACAAGATATCCTTCGATAAACATTGGTGAGATGATACTCGGGATGTGCCATTAAGGTCCATAAAGCTTCACTACATGCTCAAAAGAGGCCATGCAAATAACCCAAGAAAACAACATAAAATTGCACAAGCATACCTCAATAGCGCTAAAATTAACAAATATACCAACTAAACAAGCATAGTTTGCACTAAGGGCCTTACTAACATGCTCTTTATCTGTCCGTATAGCTTAGTGTTGGCATAAGAGAAGATTAGGTTATTACAAAACCCAACAGGAACACTTCAACAATGAGAAGGAAGAACATATTGCAACAACTTAAAAGATTCGGCACAAATTTAAGCATCTATAATTATTTTTCTTTATCAGATTGCAACATACTTTTTACGCCGAAGATGGAAAAATTCCTGGCGTACTGTTTTCAACAGGGTTAGAAAACCTTTAACTTTGGTTGATCTCATTGTTCCCCAAGCACTGTTTCCAATAGGATCAATAAACTTCTTAGAAAGATACCACACCATTCTTACGTATATAGGGTTAATAAACACTATGTATGTACATATTTAAAACAAAATTTCCGATATTTATTCATCTAACACTTACGTTTCAATCATATTAAAAAGTATGAATAAAAATATGTATTTCATTCTAAAAAAATTAATATTAGGGGTGTTTTTTATGTTATTTAAATATTTGGTGTTATATAACTAAATATGAAAGTTAAAGTGTTAGATATATAAATACATAAGAATTGTATGGGATTTATGTAAATCCTCTGAAATTTTAACTTAGGATGAAATGTATCTGGACAATTATATGATTATTGAATGATTGAAATCTTTGCATTTACTCTAATTGAAAGAATCACATCAAACATTACTCTGTGCATTTTTTATTTTTTTATTAGTTGTTATCTCTTATTTATTTTTTGATTTGAGGATGAGTTAGTGATGTTGACCAAGAACACTAGTACTATATTTCCTAGCTTTTGATTAGTTTATTTGGTTGACATGGTTTCAATCATGATATAGTTTAGGCTAGCTCCCAAAAAATAAAAGACTGAGGATGATATGGTGGATTGAATTGTCTTTTACATTTAGACCGATAAGACTTGCAGATAGAACACACAGAAATATTGTCAGGAAAGATGTGGAACTCTCTCGAGATATTACTCTTTTCTCTATTTTATATGTTTCACAATTGGACTGCAATTTGATTTTGATTAGTAAGTATACTCATGATATGAAATGTATAGCTAAATTCTTTGCAAACTCTTATGAATTTCATGTGGAGTCGGGAAAGGTGATTGACAATTCTGAAATGCATCAAGACTAGTACCTACTCACGAAAACTCTCTTTAAATACATAACTTATCCCACATCAAAATTTACATCAAATTTTTTAGTCTGTTAAGAGTCTATGTCTGTCAAAAAAATAAATCATATTATGACATTGTCACTAGGTTTTCCTAATTTCAATTATGTAACTAAGCTACATCCTCAATTGTTCATCAATAAAAAAAATTAGTTTTTATTAATGCGAGCTTAATCAACATGCCAAACACACTAGAAATAGTTATCTCATGACCCAGTACAAACCCTCACACTGATTTTTCATTATCCATAGTGATATTTGAACCTTCAAAGGTACAAATCCTAAGTGGGCCTAGATGGTTTGTCTTATATATTGTCAATCACACTAGAACTACTTGGGAAAGAAGGAGAAATATGAAATAAGATTAATCTTTCAAACCTTCCATGACATGATTCATACACAGTTCCAATATAAAATTTAGATCTTCAAAATTGATAATGCAAATAAATATTTCAATTCCATCATTAGGTCCTATCTTTCGAATAAATCTAATCATTCATATAAGTTCATGTATTAGTACCCCACAACAAAATAAGATAGCTGAGAGAGAGAACAAATAACTCTTTGAGGTATCTTGCTTAATTAAGTTTTCTCATCAAGTTCTAAAACATTTTAGGGGAAAGCAGTTCTTACTGTAACTTATCAATCGAATATCTACCCGGATACTTAACTTCAAAACACCTCTTCATGTTTTGATGATTACCTTTCCTCACATTAGAGTTTTCTCTATTATACTGCCTAAAATCATTATATGCATATTCTTTGCTCACATTCATTCTCAAAATCGCACAAAACTTGCCCCTAAATCTATCAAGCTTTTTTTTTATGCCTCCAATAAGAAGGGGTATGACAATTACTCTCCTGTTATCAAAAAATACCACAACTTCATGGATGTTACATTTATTGAAAAATCAATCTTACTGTTCCAAATCTAATGTTCAAGGGAAGATTGCAAATGAAAATCAATTCCGGTATGCACTTGATGAGACCTACACGGCCTCAGAATCTATTCCACCTACCCCTCCTATCTTGATGGAGGATCTTCAACCAATTCAACTAATCCAATTTGAAGTCCATAACAAAGAATTTATTATGTACACTGAGGAAGAAAAACCATGAGCAGATGGAAAGACTTGCAAGTACAAAACTATTCAAACCAAAACCCAAATCTATATTCACCTGAAATTTTGGGTAAAGAATAGTCTAGTATTCATGAGTTATTCCCTTCGGCTTCTGATGCTAGAGAGAAAAAAAAATCTGCATTAGATATCCAATTCAGGAGTATGTAGCTTATAAGAAGCTATCCTCATCCTACAAAACTTTTGTTTCTAAGTTTGATACTGTGCAAATTCCTAACTTTAGTCATGAAGCACTTGAAAATCCATAGCGGAGGAAAGCGGTTGAAGAGGAGATACAAGCACTGAAGAATAATGACACATGAATTCATACTAAACTCCTTTCGGATAAAAAAAAGCCAATTTGGATGCAAATGGGCATTCCACATCAAGTACAAAGTTGATAGGAGTATTGAGAGATTCAAAATCAAATTATTTGCAAAAGGCTTTACTAAAGCTTATGGGATTGACTATCAGATGACAATCACATCAATTTCCAAATTGAATACTAACAGATTCCTTTTAGTAGCACTTAATGAGAAATAGGGACTACATCAACTTGACATAAAAAATATCTTTCTGAATGGGGATCTAGAAGAAGAAGTGTACATTGATATACCATTAGAACTTGAGAATGAGTTCAACCAACAACTAGTATGCAAACTTAAGAAGTTTCTCTACAGGCTTAAGCAATCACCAAGAGCATGATTTGAAAGGTTTGCTAAAACTATTAGATGTAATGGATAGTCTCAAAACCAGTTCATCAAACTTTGTTCACAAAACACACTTAGAGAGGTAAGATTGTTGCACTTACAGTATGTATGGATGAAATGATCTTATTGGTGATGATGAAAGAGAGATTCTCAAGATCATAGAAGTGTTTGCCACTGAGTTTGAAATTAGGAATTTAAGAATCATGAGATATTTTCTAAGTATGGAGGTAGCAAAGTTTAAGAAATACATCATTACAACTCATATGAAATATATACTAAATCTACTAAATTAGACAGAGATGATTGGATACAAATATGCTAATAATATTCCAATGGATCCCAACAAGAAATCTAATAAAGAAAAAAAAACATATCTGTGGATAAGGGAAGATATGAAATATTGGTAGAAAACTATTTACCTATCACATACGAGGTAAGATATTACATACTTTGTGAGGATTGTGAGCCAACACATGAATAACCCAAATGAAGAGCATTTGGAGATGGTATACTGACACGCCTATACATTTTATGCTTAATTTTAATGATATTGCACTTTAAAGAAAGATATTTTGCATGTTTTTGGTTTCCGGTACAAGAAATGGACTTTTTGAGAAAAAGAAACAAGAATGGTGCAATTTAGAGCAAAAACGAGCAAGAAATGAAATTTTGCCCTGTTACCTTTCGATAAGTCTTTCGATGTTTACTTTCGATAAGTCTTTCGATGTATTTTTGAATGAGATTACACTTTAATGAAAGGTTGTTTTCATGTTTATTTTGTAGGGCTATCTGTTAGGAACACAACGTGAAAGGTTGTTTTCATGTTTATAAAGGTTGTTTTCATGTTTATTTTGTAGGGCTATCTGTTAGGAACACAACGCAACTAAAATTGGGCGAAACAGAGCTAAAACGCAGCCAAAAGGAGCGAAACGGTGGAGTTGCGCAGTCTGCTATCCGACGGCTCCCAAAACGGCGCCGACGGCAAGATTTACCCGAGAAGACCGAAAAATAACAGAAAAGCTCGCCGACGGCGCCCTCGACGACTATAGACCGACTTTTGGCGGTTATGGGCCAAAATTCAACGTATTTGGACGTTTTTTGAAAGGATTCTGGTGGCAACTCTTCAAACTTCTTCCCTATCCTTTAAAAGAACAAATTTAGGTTAGAAAAAGAGGGATTTTTGTATGAGGAATGTTAGGAAAAGTGTGGAGAAAGTTTAGGTTTCTTAGAATAGGAGTAGAAATGTATATTTCTACCCTTTTAGAGAGATTGGAGAGGAGATTTTGAGAGAATTTTTAAGGAGATGTTCTAGCATTGCATGGATGACCACATGAAACACCAACAAAGCAGTTAGTTTTCTTATTGAGTCAGCATCTATACCAGTTCATGAGTAATGTCAAGGGTAATCATCCCCACCTTTCTAGTTTATATAATTTTCAGAGGCCAAGCCTAGTAAGGTAGTCGATGGTGATGATGGAAATGATAATAATGATAAGGAGTATGCGGGCAATGAGCTCTAGACATTCTTTCCCCTCTTATGCCATTGTTTTCACTTTACTTTTCTTTTGAAATGAGCAGAATTCATGTTTTGGGATGCTTGATGCTTGTTAGAAGAAGATTTAATTATAAATGTGATGGTTTTTACTTGCACTTCATTTACATTATAACAAGAGCCCGTTGTAGTGTTAAAATTTGTTGAAATTTCATTGATCCGAAAGGGCGGTGTAATTCTCAACAAAGTAGAATCACATTCAAATTCTATGGATGGTGACATTCATGGGAGTTGAGTGCAAATAAATAGGGAAATATACTTTGGATTTTAGGGTGACAGACTAAAATCTCTAATTTGGTCATAGGGTTTGAAAACTGAAGCGGAGATGTTAGCCCTCACGCGAGGGGAACGTGGGAGATCCGAAGTGAGAGCCGGTATCCTCCCAGCCTAGCCACGGATTCAGTAAAAAAGCATAGGATTAGTCAATATTCTTTAAGCCTAGACCAAAGGGTAAAGAATAAGATTGCTCCTATTTGGCACATACAATATTTAATGTATCTCATTCCTTTAAATTATACAATTCATTACATAAGAATAGCAGTTTTTAATATCTCAAAATTCTTCAAACTAATTCATCCAAAAAGGGTTATCTTTAGAATTAATATTTGCATGTAGGAGTAGTTATTAGTTGTGTTAAACTTAAGACTTACATTTAGGAGTATATGTTAGTAAAACCTCTTAAATCGCACTTCCAAACTAAGGGCTAATAGTAGTAGATTAGAATTTGAATAAGGACCTCTTACCTCGCTTTCCTGTGGGATCGATAAACAGGACTCGACTAGAGTCCTATATTAATTGAGCGATACGTATAATTGCGTTTGAAATTGTGACTTTACAAAATCATTATAAATATATAAATCTGGGTTCATAAATTCTTGCATATTAAAAGTTGCATCAAGTTTTTGGCGTCATTACCGGGGGTTTAAATCTTCTAGTAGTTGTATCAAATTCTTGTATTTTTAAGCATATAAAAAAGTCGTCATGTACACGATTTTGAAGTTTCTCAAGACTCCTAGTTAAGGATTAAATTTTTAAGAGAACCAGAAATAGAGAGGTAGAAGTCTACACTAATACAAGTTGGGTTAGAGAGCTCCCTGACAGAAGGTCCCGCACAAGTCATTGCTCCTATTAATGGAAAAATTCGATTACTCGGAAAAGTAAAAAAACAAACTGTTGTTTCTAGAAGTAGCATTGAATTAGAATACAGAGCACTCGCCTTGGGAATTTATGTAGGGATTTGGAGGTGTACATGATTCTAAACTTTCTCAAGAAAACTCCTAGTTAAGTATTAAGTTTTTAAGAACAAAAAAAAACAGAAAGATAGAAGTCTGCACTGATGCAAATTGGGTTGGGGAACTCACTAATACAATGTCTCCCACAAGTTATTGCTCCTATGTATGGTTAAATCTGGTTACATGGAAAAGTAAAAAACAAACTATTATTTCTATAAGTGGTCTTGAATTATAATATAGAGCACTCACCATGTGATTCTATAAAAAGATTTGAATTCAAAAATTGTTAAAAGGAATTAGGTGCATCTCCAATAAGGCTATATAAATGTTTTTGTGACGATCAGACAGCTATTAGTATTTCCAAAAATCTTGTACATCATGATAGAACCAAGCAAATTGAAATTGATAGACACTTTATCTCTGAAAAGGTTAAGGTGGGAATTATACAACTAAGCTACATCCTTATACACGAAAAAGTTGTTGATGTCTGCACCAAAGGTCTTCCTTTAAGCACCTTCTCAAAGTTCAATACTAAGTTTGGTTACTACAACATCCACGACCCAGCTTGAGAGGGGTGTGAAAATCTGAGAAGGATTTTGGCTCTTACTAGGGTGGATCAGTCGGTCTCCATAGAGATCATAGTAGATTTGCTTAGAGACTATTTTTGGAAACCCCCTGATTAGTTGTTATTCCCTTCCTTTTTTATTTTATTATTTTTATTTCCTTCCTAATTTAGTTCAAATACATTTGATAAGTTTGTATTATATGGGATTGGTTTCCTTATATATATTTACCCTACTAATGAATAATGAAATCAAGGGAATTATTCCTCTACAAAACCTGTTTTCAACACATCATTATAAAATAAATACAGTAGAACATGTTAAACAAAAAATTCAGACGGATGAATTACTTAATAATGAATTCACTAGGTATATGTTTGTTAAGAGCAATAGATTTGCATTTATCTAAGAATCAAGTTTGTTAGAGGATGCGTAGATAACAGAACCATAAAATCACCACTAAATACAGATAAATTATATGAAGGGTTGGTATGTATTTTAGATTAACAATAAACTTTAGTACTTTCAAGAGAATAATGAAACGTATCTTCCAATCTTTTATTGGAAATTTTATAATTATTTATTTTATTGATATTTAAATATATAATAAGACATTAGATAATTATTTAGTGTATATCAAAAAAAAAAAAAAATTTTGCATGCAATAAATTTGCATTTGAATTTGAAGAAATATTATGCCAAACTCCATCTCTAAATTTTAAAGGAGTAACTGTCCAGGAATGGATGAGTTATTGATTTTGATAAAACTAAAGTGATTAATGATAGGACAAACCTACAAATAGACATGATATCCAAAGTTTCCATGATTTGACAACATTTTATAGACAATGCGTAAGGCTCCATAACAAATTGTTAGGAAAAAGCTGAATTTAAATAAACTAAATTTGCTGACAATTCTTTTTTTAAAATTAAAGAAAAATTTACCAATACACCTGTACCTAAGTTGTTTGATCTTCATAAAATATTTGAGCATTCTTTTAATACAGCCAAAGCAGGTATTGGATGAGTGTAAACCAAGACTGACATCCTATAACAGTTTTTTCGTGAAAAATTAAATGAGGCTAAATACAAATATTTAAATTATGATAGGAAACCATATGTTTAAGCACATGATTTTGATATTAGAGACAACATCAACAACTTAAAGATTTTGCACTAACTCAAATCATCAAGTTGAGTTCCCCAAAAAAGTTGAAACACAAACAAGCTAAATGAATTGAATTTCTAAGAAAATATTCCTATGTCCTAAATATTGTGCTGAGCCTGACAATAAACAAGCTGAAAGATTGAGTAGAGACCTTTTTCATCTATAGATAATGTAAATTTAGATAAATAGTTTTGATCATCCTAAAAAGGAATGAAACTTGAAAGGATATTGGTGAGATTTACTTGTAAATTTAAAAAATGACATATCTAAACTTAAGAAATACTACATGCATAAAAAGTTTATTTATTTAAGACAGCTTCGTGTTCTTGATTCATCATTGTGCGATTTTCTAATTTAAGAATTACATAATGACGGTGTTGTTGGACCTTTTGGTAGAAATAAAAACCATCAAACTGACTACAGATAGATATTTCTGGCCAAATCTAAAAATAGATGTAACACATAGTATTTCACAGTGGAACTTGTCACTCTGCTAAAGACTGTTAGCAGAACATGACGTTATATAGCATTATCAAATCCATATAAACCAAAAAAAGACAACAGTATAAATTTTGTATTAGGGCTACCAGGAATACAAAAAATCAATTTTTAAAAATGATAAATTTCCTACCATGTCATAATTTATTGATGAGCCTCACATTGTTAAATATGAGGCTATACACACCCATAATATCTAGTCATTAAATTCCAGTAGAAAGCCATTTGTCTCCAATCTAAATTAAATTTTGTTTTCATTTTTTAATAAAGTTGCCGAACAATTATTGTTTGTGTCCCACAAATTTTTGTTGAATGATTTTAAAAATTTCATATTAGACCTTTAATAGAGACTGTAGACTCTAAGCCTTCCAACACAAAAAGAAAAATAAAACAGGTAATAATCCATAATTAGAGTGAACAAAAATTTGGTAAGTTGCTAATATATTATCCTTACCTGTATTGTGGCAATGGCTTCTACCGCACCTGAAGCGCCAAGAAGATGACCAATCATTGATTTTGTAGAGTTGACTCTTAGCTGTAAGAAAAAACAATAATTACTACACTTGCTACGATACATCAACCTTTTCGAAACTGTGCCCATACCTCAGGATTCTGACCGAAACAACGAATAAGAGCTTGGTACTCTTTCACATCTCCAGAAAGTGTTGAAGTTGCATGAGCATTTACATAGTTTACATCCTCTCTGGCTATCCCATATTCTGATAGTGCCTTCTCAATACACAGAATAATCCCAGCCCCTGATTTCCAAAACACCACATGAAAGCACTGCTATACTGTTAGAGGATCAATGAATATGGAGCAATTAAAACGAACCGCAAAAAAATTCACTTTTAACAAGATAAAAGTTTAGGGCTTGTTTGGGATCAAATTTATTTTTTATTTTTAGTTTTGATTTTTCTTTTATTTTTCTTTTGTTATAAAAAATATATTTATTTAGTGTATATTTTTACATGTTCTTTATTTTTTATTTCTAAAACAAATTAATATGTTTTTGAAAACACTCAAAATAAATTTTAGGTTGAGTGTTTTAAAAAACATCTATACTTTAATCAAATAGCTGTATGTGTTTTGTTTCAAATCAGAACATAAACATAATGAAAACAAAAAATAGAAAATCAAAAACAGAAGTGAGTCTAAAGGGCCCCTTGATGTTTTTACCCTCAGGATGCGGTTCAGTCATGTGATATGCATCACAGGTGAAGCTTCCCCCTAAAAACTCAGCATAAATAATAGCTCCTCTTTGCTGTGAAAAAAAAAAGAAATAATAAAGGCACAAATCTAGCGATTATATACAAGAAAAGGAACATTTATTATCACAATAATTTACAGAATTGGCATTTTTTAGAACCTTGGCATGCTCAAGATCTTCCAAAAGCAGCACACCAGCTCCTTCGCCCATAACAAATCCATCACGGTCCTGAAGCAGACCACAGTCAATGGAACATAAAAGTTAAAAGTTAAATAAATGTTTCTTATGGAAGGTAACTTTCACCAATGTCATATTTAATATGCCAAAAAACTGGAACACTTGTACTTTGTGAGCGTCAGCATATGTATGCAGCATAAACATGAGTGTGTGGATGATTCGGGTAATTCAATAAATTTAAAGAAAAAACATTATCCAATAATAAAATTTATCAGATAAATAAAATGGTTTTGATGGATCATTATGCTTCTGTTATCTAGTCTACCAAGAGAAAATTTTATATGCATTTACCACATCCCAAGGGCGTGAAGCTTTTGCTGGATCATTATTCCTCTGTGAAAGTGCCTTACATGCAACAAAACCTCCCAATCCTGAAACATGTAAACCCAGTACCATATTGAATCCCTTTCAGAAAGAAACCTTTAAATTAAAGGAAAAAAAATAAAGCCATAAAAGTGATTCTATTAGAAATAATTACAAGGCAGGCTTAATAATGCAAATGCTAAATTATGCTAACAACAAATTTAATAGTAAAAGTGCTAAATAGTTTCCTGACTATTTATGTGGAGTCATTTTATTCTCAGAGCCCATAAAAGTGCCAAATTAGTCCCCAAATTTTTAAATTGAGGCTGAAAGAATGCCTATGGAGTGATATTTTAACTCATATTAAAAGAGTCTGTGAATTAAATTAAAACTTTAATAGACTCTGGGACTAAAACGACCGCTGCAAATGGTCTGGGAACTATTTTGACACTTCTCTTAATTTAAAAGATAGAATGTGCAAAAAATAGATAGATGGTATATTACCAATTGGTATAATTGCTGCGTCTGAACCACCACAAAGCATCATGTCCTATATAAATGCATGTCCTTAAAAAAGAATTGAAGAAGAAGACAGCATAGAGTATTGAAATACTTCTATCATGAGAATAAGAACAATACATGAGCAACTTACAGCTTCCCCTCTTAAAATATGATTTGCTGCATTCAGAATACAGAAGTTGCTAGTAGCACAAGCAGTTGAGATTGAGTAATTTGGACCCATCCAACCCTAAATTTTCCAGTTTGAAAATGATTTATTAAGATTTATTAGGCAAATATAACAATAAACTGTAACAAAAGAAAATTTTAAATGTTGTTTTCGCGAGCCAACCAGATCCATTGCAAGCATGGCAGAACCCATATTTGTTGTTGCAAATGGTACACAAAATGGGTTCATCTTCTTGTACGAAACCCTCAACGCCTCAATAGCATCATTGAAAACCTGTTTGTTAGCAAAACATTGATCTTTCAAAGCTAAAAAGGAAGGTGAAACAGATAATGATTTCAGAATACAAACTATGAATCGTAATTTATTTCACAACACGAATTCTTTCCCTTAGGGTTTTAAAGTAAACTGAAAATTCTACCTTCATTCCGCCCATTGCTGAACCTATGAGAACTCCACATCTTGACTTGTCTAACTGGCTCAGCACCTCTTCTGTAACACCACCATTGGCCAGCGCCTTTTTGCCAGCTGTGAGCAAGTAGAGCATGAATTTGTCCATCCGCTTGGATAATTTTGGAGCAACCCATCCATCTGTTGAGAAAGACTTTATTTCTCCAGCAATTCTCTGTAAAAAAAATACAAAAGACTGCTCAGAAGATTTCTGTTCATGCAATATTCATGGCACATATCCATGGTTTGAGAGAGAGGAAGAGATAGAGAGATTTATGAAGCATTTCTGAGGAAGATGGCATTACCGTTGGATAATTAGCACAGTCAAATGTTTCTATCTCACTTATACCGGAAAACCCCTCAAGGAGATTATTGTAGAACACATCAGCATCATGACCTAATGGAGTTACCACACCCATACCAGTAACAGCAACTCTCCTCTGTTTAGCATTTATTATTTTCTTTTCAACAACAGGCTTTGCAGTTTCAACAGCCACAGCCAACGCTTTTCCTGTAGTCAAATAAAAGCATTTAATTCAAGGCCTCGTGCTATCACCATGAGCAAGCTAGAAAATATGTGCAGTGTTCTTCTAATATTATCTTTCTGTGTTGTAAAAGCTAGAGAATCAAAACTCAGGTGGCTTGGTAGATACATTTCAGTAGCCATTTCATGATATCAAAGCTATTCCTTCCGATTATTTTTTTAATAACTACTTTAACAGGCCATTTCTAAAACCATACTACAGAATGTAAATCCTTGATCATGCCATTGTCATGACATGAAGAAGTACCACAAGCTTTTTTCTTTTTTTCAGACAACATGATATAATCACCAGAAAACACATGCCCAAAAAGCCATAGCAACAAAACAAGCACCAAGCCTTTAAAACAAAGGAGAACGTGCATATAAGGCAACAACAAAATCCCCAATTAGGAGAAAACCATTTATTAACCAATTTAAAAATCCATAAGCTTCGCTCACAGAAAGAAAAGAAAAATAAATCACCTGAGGCAACGGAAGAGCAGAAGAGCGTGACGACATCTTCTGCCTTCGATTGGCCTCCGTCTTCCAACGCCTACACAGCAGAAACCCATTCCCTCCAAAAAAGGGTGACGCATTTCTCGAACTGTAGAATTCAGAACACGGCTCTAAGGAGCTGATCAACCCCTGAATCCCCGATCCACAAAACGCAGAGATCAAACCCACGGACGAATCTCGTCCTCCCATTCTCATTCCTCCCCTCGCCGCCGCCGCCGTCCTCCTCTTCGCCCTCCTACCAGACGACGACCGATCCTTCTCACACGAAACCGACATGCACGCTGCCACAAGCCACGTGCAGAGAGGAGAAGCCGCCGCCAAAGCCGCCATTGGAGCAAGTAAAACAGAAGCAGAACAAGGATTGATGGATTTCAGCCAAGAGATCCACAGCAACAAGGATTCGGACAATTAGCGATGTAGGGGAGATATATAGATCGGCATGGCGGGTTTTGCGAGGGGAGGTGAAGATTCTAAGAAAGAAATTGAATTGATTTCAGATCGAAATGGCGAGCTCTCATGAATCTGACTGCCCTCCAGCACCAACCATTGCCTCAACAGACAGAGATGGCATAGCCCATTAAAATAAATAAATGGATGGCAGCCAAGAAAAAAAAATCTTGCAGGCAATTTTTAAATTAAAGTTTTTATTAATTTAAATTAAATAGCACACATACATTTACATTCATAGGACACAATTCTTATGTATTTATATATCTAACTTCTATATTTTCATTACATACCCAACACAGAATAAGAATCTTTAATGTTACATTAAAAATAGTACTATTATTACTTTTAAAAGTACTTTTTAAAAGTCAAATACACATTTTTATGCATAACTTTGAAGCATCAAAGTGCTATGCGAGTAAATGTGCAGGTTTAATTGTGAAATATGTAAATATATAAAAATTATGAGCTAGGTAAGTAAATTTTCCAATTTCTCAATTAAATAATATTAGCGCAATAAAAACTTTATTGAAAAAAGAATAAAAATATCATTTGAATTTTTGTTGTCATATGAGCTAAGAACTCCAAATAATTAGCATTTTTTAATGAAAGATGACCAACTCTTCAATACTTTATTATTTCATTTTTTACTTCTTAATATTTTCTTTCTCTAAATTTTCATAAATAATAAATAATTTTCACATTTCAGTTGATATAAATGTAAATCATAATGATTGACTATTATATAATAATTCAGTTTTCATGATAATAGAGAAGAACAGGAGTTCAATTCAATATGATCTTTTAATTTTGAACTTTTTTTTTTTATTATAATATTTTAGATTTCATTTGAGAAGACGGCTAAGCTTCGTTCTATTGCAGTGAACATCGACACGTGGAAGAGTTGTTGTTCGGTTAAGCAGTATCTTCCAAATGTATTGCAAAGTTGTTTTATGAGAACAGCAATTTTTTCACCCTTTTAGATTGCAACTGGCCTTCTATGTTCAGCGTTTAAAGAAGCTTTGATGAACGACAAAGCTTCTTCAAACGTTGAAGAAGCCTTAGTATAATTATTACATCTCTTGAACTACAAAAAAGAAATAAAATTATCATCAATTCCTAAGATAAATTATGAATCATAAAATAGTGAGAAACAAAAAGAAGGAAGAAGCGCTCACAAGAAAGCAAGAAAACTAAAATATGAAAACGGGAAGAAGAAGGGTTCTCTTCTTCTCTTGAGCTCCTTTTTCTCTTGAAAATCTCCTTCTCCTCCCTAGACTTTCTTCCTCTCAGTTTGATAAAAAATAGTGCAATTCTCTTAAAATGAGCCATATCTCTTCTTTTAGTTTGATTTGTCACGACCCCCAAAATCTCCTCTGCATGCACTTGGCTCTGCCAGATTCATTTGCTCGACACAGCCTGCAGAAGCATCCCATTGCATAAAAATGACAAGCCCTAAAGGGTTTGGCTCCTTAGCCTCCCTTATGTGCGCAGCTTCGCGCAGATGGCGTTTTATGGATCATTGCACTACCAGAGACTATCTAGGAGTGAAACGGGTTGTCCGACATTGAGGCGGACGCCAAAGGTGCACCTTATCGAATGAAAAACGCTGCCCGGGGCCAAGTATGGTCCGAACGGTCCAAAATGCAATTAGTGTTCGGACGTCCGTAGGATGGTTTTAATTGATCTGAAAACTACAAAATATCATTAATCGTTAAAATATGAACCAATAACTCAAAAATGAACATTCTAGATATTTCAAATTGGGGATTTTGGTGACAACAGGCATCCCGGGCCCCCGTGCGGGTAAATAGGCCTGAAATCTGACTTTTTCCAAAATGCGCATGGGAGAGTTTGATAACTTCAATTGGTAAGTGGAGGCTCTGAATAGTCGGGTTATGGCCTATAAAAACAAAGATAGACATTAAATATGCCCCATGTCAGAATTAATGTCACCCCGTGTTGAATTCTCCTGGGTTGGGCTAAATTGAGACCGACCTTAATTTTGTGCTCGAGGCGCGTACCAAATGTTTTGAATAGAAGTTCTAGGCTACGTGAAGCTGTAAACTACCCTGCAACACTCTGGACATCGACTTGTATGGCATCCAAAAGTGATACCAACATTATACATGTTGTATAACATTTTCATTTAATAAAATTATAAGCAAATTTTAAAATTGCTCGCTTAGATGATAAGCCTGAATGAGTTTTCATGATAAAATAAATTAATATGTTAGCCAAAGGTAACATTTACTATTCTCTTAGGAAGGTTGGAGACCCCAGATAATAAAAAAATATTATTGGAGTACTCCAGAGCCTTCAAGAAAGTCCCGTAGAAGAGTCAAAATTCTCTTGAGTGGGGGTCAGTTCTGTGACAACCCAAAGTCTCGCTCATCAAGATATTGTTCTCTTTGACCAAATGGTCTCACAGTTTTGTTGCTTTGGTGTACCTTTCCAGGAGGTCACCTATCCCAGGAATGTTCCATCACAAGCATGCTTAACTTTGGAATTTCTAATGAAATTCCACCATTACACTTAAAGCTACCTCGATACTTAAGATTTAAGTTTCATTCTGCTTAAGCAGGTTTGCAAATTCCCTCATTTAAGTCTTCGCAGTTTTCTTACCCAGAATCATCCACCGGGCATATAAGATTCTAGAAATGGCCCATATAGATTCAGGAGATGGTTCCCACCATGTAGCACTTTGTCCCATCCTGGGTTCAAGAGGTGATGTAACACTTTGTTCTGTATGACACTTAGTTCCTAGCTTTCGATCGCTGTAATGATATGATACCGTTTGTGACAACGTGAATTCTCACCCATTAAGATATTATACGCTTTGGCCTAATAGTCTCACTGTTTTACCCGTTTGTGTAACTTAATCATAAGATCAATCATTCTAGGATTACTTCAACATGACACGTTTAACTTTGGAGTTTCTATCGAAATTCCACTGTTACACCAAAACGCTCCTCGTTGTTTAAGAGTTGGCTTCATTCTACTTAAGGGATTTCACAATCTCCCCCACTTAAGTAGTTGATTATAATGTTAGTTCTCGTATCCCAGAATCATCCATCAAGCATACAAAATTTTAGAGGTGACCCCTACAGATTCAAGAGGTGGCTCTCACCATGTGGAACTTTGTCCCATCTTAAGTTCAAGAGGTGGCTTCCATGACGTAGCACTTTTTTCTATATGTCACTTAGTTCACATCTTCCGGCTGGTGTTATGCTCTAATACCATTTGTGATAGCCTGTATTCTTACCCATCAAGGTATTGTCCACTTTGCTCTTGCGTGTTCTTTGCTTTTCCATATTAGTGTAACTTTCCAGAAGGTCACCTATCCTAGGAGTGCTCTTGGATGAGCACGCTTAACTTTATTGTTTCTAATAAAGTTCCACTGTTACACAAAAAAGTGCCTCGATGTTTAAGAGTTCGGCAATCTACTTATGGGGTTTCACACAGCAGAAGTTAGTACAGCTCCATGTTTAGTCTATGTGACCAATTGTGACCTACGCAGCTCATAGCTCATGCAGCTCCCAGCTCCAACATTTACGACTTATAAATACTATCACAGCTCCCAACTACAACCGTTGTCGCCAACCGAAGCTTCTAAAGCTACTTCCTACGACGTATATAACCAACTACTACCATAACTTTCAACCACAATCCCTGCAATAATTGATATTGCAACAATCGTTTACTACATTCATGGCGGACTACTATCTTCATAAAAATCAATTATGTCCTTCATGGCTCATAACGGCTATCACGACTGAAATATTATTGTAAATCAACTTTATAATTTTATCTTCCATAATTTAGAAATTGTTTTCTCTTTCTAAGTTTTTTCACATAAAAATTTGTGGTGTCTCCTCCTGTTGTTTTTCTTTCATTTGTGTGTGCTAGATCTGATACAACACAGTGACATTAATTTATTAATCTACCGCCACAGATCTTCCGATGCACATTACTCATGTACTTGATAGTGTATAAGATACTTTCTAATGTCTTAATTGTAGTGCAAAATAAATATTACCTAAAAAATTATAAAAAAAAAATAAGTTCTTTTTTTATTTAAATCAATTTGTGTAAGTATTTAATATGAGAAAAAAATATATATACATAAGTTATGAAAGACAAAAGACCTAAAGAATAATTATAAATGACTAAAAAAATTAATTATATTGTTTTTTTTTTCTTTCATAATTAATTATTTAAAAAGACCTAAAGATATTATTTTTGTCTTTCATAATTAATTATTTATAAAGACCTAAAGATATTATTTTTGCCTTTCATAAATTTGCTATAAATTGTCTTACATAATATGCTAATTATAAATATAAATAAATAAAAATGCCTTCAAATAATAGCAGAAATAATCTTGTGATTATTGCATATTAGAAACTCTCGTGACATTTTAAGTGAGAAATTAATCCTTCAGCTTTATATAAAGATCCATCACACAAATAAATAAATAAATAACATTAGAGCTGTTAGAGTTTTTAATTAAAAAAAATTCAAAAAGGATAAAATAAATGTGGCATAACCCAATTGAAATTACTCCACCAATTTATATTATAGGTTACAAATGATATTATTATCTATAATTAGACAAGAAATTGGTACATTATAATAAACATAAATATGTAGAATATATTTTATAATAAAAGATAGAGTATCACAAAGCTATTAGTTTTCTTTAAGGGATCGTGTTATAGCTTGTTTGATCGTTCGCTTTAGAGAAGATGCGTTAATAAAATAAAAAGGCCAGAATAAAGTCTATGATTACGAGCATCAACATTATTGTTAATGGTAAGGATGAACAACGTTAGTGTGGCCTACAAGTGATGGCATGCATCAATGGGATAGATCAACATATAATGGTAAGTGATGAATTCATTGGACAACGATAGTCATAAAATCCTAGTAGAGTGATGGTTGTAAAGTAATGTTGGTGGGGTGACAGTGGACGGACGACTATAGTCTAATGTTAGAGGCCAAACATGTGTAAATAAGTAATAGTGATTGGAAGATCATATTTAAGTGATGGCAATCAGGCGACCAGGATATGACAGCAATAATTGAGCAACCATAGTCAAACAAAAATGTTTGATCGATGACAATCTAATGAAAACTGTCAAGCAATAATAGCCCCAACAACA